CGGTCCGAGCTAACCCTATACCCCAAATTTCAGACTCGGGGCAGACCTAGTGTAGCCGCCAACCCCGAACAGACAGACAGACAAACGACAGTCACAAATATATATATAGATAGATATCGATCTATAAATTATGACCATGACCTGATAGTGATATATATGCTCGAATTAATCGGCCAAAATAAATAGCTTTTGACCGGGGTGGTAGGCCTATTTTTTTAATTTTTTGAAAGTAGTTTTCCTTTGATACTATATTTGTAATGTTTATATTACGTATTTTATTTTATATTTACAGGATCTTGATTAACTAAGGATGGGCTGACGAACGATGCGCTTTTCCAATCATCATGCTCGATTCGGCGAATCCGCCTCTAATAATCCGATTGGTAGTCGCGGTCAAACAGGCTTCCGACTGTCAGGTCGCTCATAATCCGATAAAATTTGCTTCGAGTTGTCGAAGCGTAGGTTAAAAATAAAGTTATTTCTCAAACAAGCGCTATGGCTGACAGCGGTTCATTTCAACCGGGGACGGTTGGGGCTCCCACATCGTTTGTAGAGTTATCAGTATCATGTCGGCAAGTATACATTGTTATTTTCTTTAAAATCCGGGCTTAGTTAGAAATATTTTGTAGTATTTGAACAAGAGCCTAAAGTTTTCAGTTTCTAACTTTTTACTTTCACTTCAGACCTGAAATGACGAAGTAAACAATCTTGACCTAATTTACTAATTCCACTCTAATCATAGAACCGTTATATTTATAAATCTATTTTGTAAAAAAAGTAAGTCAGTTTTAGATTAGAATGGTTTTCAATGCTTTGTCGCATTAATAATTTGTTTTGGATGTGTCTTGTCACTTCAAACTTGTGCTAAAATCATTGCGTAATCAGGACACATTAACATTGTGGTAGATTTCCTCTGTAACTAATATTGCACATTCTACATCATGTAGCATTCCATAAACACAGACCACACACAACCCAGATTTTGTCAAAATCCAACAAGAGAAGTATCTAGAATTAATTGTCACCAGCTAGCATTAATAGTTACTGGAGTGGAAGCAACAATTTATCTACCCTATTATTTATTCCCATCCCACTTTTGTTTACAAGAAAAATATAAGGTTTATAGCATCCTAAAAGAAGCCAGACATAATCTAATTACTTAATGCATATATAAACGGCCTATAGTATATTATATTGACTACAAAGGCGGTGGTACTTTTTACCGCCGACCAATACTTTTACCGCCGACCGTCGTGAAATTACTGCCGACCAAATACTTTTTACCGCCGACCGCACTGTAATGACTTTCGATCGTAATATAATTACCGCCGACCAAATACTTGTTACCGCCGACCAAATGCTTAATGATTCCTTGTTACCGCCGACTATATAAAATTAATTAAATTATTAGTGACAAAAAAATAGATTTGGTTAAATACACAGAGTTTGATAAAAATATAGATTTTATTATATATAAATATGGTTGACAACCCTAACCCTCGCACTAATAGAAGATAGGCCTAAAATGTTATTTTTTTATAACCAGTAGCTGAAACAATCTTGATATATTTGCCCTTCAATATCTAAATTGTAGTTTTGTCCTTCCATATTCTTTAAAATATATTAATGTTTTTCAACAGATGTACGTGATTAAACCTCAAATAAAAAATAACATAGTATTTGGTCGGCGGTAATTTCACAACGGTCGGCGGTAAAAGTATTGGTCGGCGACAAAAAGTACCACCCCTACAAAGGTACAATATTATAATTTACAAATTGGAGGTGCAAAAATATGAACATTTCTGATTATTTACATACAGGGGAAAGGTCACCCCAAAACAATATATTTGTTATTTGATATACAGTGTGAATACGAAATGCATTTGAAAACAAGCGGTTGCCATGCAAGAAGAGACACCCACATTTTGCAAGAGATGGACAGAGAACAAGCAACAAAATGGCTTTTTCGTACAATCAGGGGTCATAATCTTGGAAGCTACGATACTTTTACTTTTACACTGTTACGGCGACTTATTGGCGTGCCATACACGGAACTGTGGGTAAGCCACGAGAAACGTCAACGCTGATTGATTAATTAATGTCTGACTCATAGGGTCAAAAGCCGCTTGTATACGAGCCCTGACACGACCTTAGAGTACAACTTGTCAGATCTTCATGTAGTGTAGGCCATCGAAAGTATAAAAAAACGAAACGAAATATAGATCTGTATATTAATCAGATTGGGTTATATACTATTCAAAAAAAGTAGGGGATATTTGATTTTGGGGGCATAATACTAAAATATGCAAATGACTATGAAAAAAGTCACTATAGAACCTAACAGAAGAAACATTTCCAGTTACATGTGACGCTCAAACGCACCAATAGCTACCGCATGGAATGCAGGTGATGCTTGGGATCATCATGGGGGTCCAACCCAAGATTTGCACGACTCTGACTTTGAATGTTACAGTCATTGTGGCATTGAATTCCAGGGTGGAAACATCAGTTTAATTGTTTTAGTGACCAGAAAACAAATTTTGATATGCGTCGGCTTACCCAAAATGAAAGGTTACGTGCCCTTGGCATGCTACAGATCGGCACAACACAGGCGGTTGTGGCGCGGACGATGAATGTTTCTCAGTCTGTCATAAGCAGGCTATGGTCCAGATACCGTGATACACAATCTGTACAGGACAGACCACGCTCAGGTCGACCAAGGGCGACAACTCAAGCCCAGGATCGATTTATCCGTACCTTGGCCTTGAGAAATCGTGTCATCACAGCAAATCAGATCAGCGCTCGTCTTCAAACAGACACTTGTGTGAGAGTGAGTGGCCAGACGATTCGGAATCGACTGCATAGGGGTCACCTTCGCGCCCGACGTCCTCGCGTGATCCCTTGTTTGAGAGATCATCACATTCAGGCAAGACGTCGTTGGTGTAGGGATCGTCAACACTGGGATAATCGACGCTGGAGCAATGTGATGTTTTCAGATGAGTCAAGGTTCACTGTTGATTTTTTGGACAGACGTAGGAGGGTGTGGCGTCGTCGAAACGAGCGCTTCCAAGACGTTAACGTCATCAGACATGATCGATTTGGGGGTGGTTCTGTTATGGTGTGGGGAGGCATCACTGTTGCTGGAAGAACGGCTTTACATGTTGTTGCAGGGCGTGTTACAGGCCAGTACTACCGGGACAACATCTTGGCAGTCCATGTTGTGCCGTTCGCACGACATCATGGCCGCCGTTTCATCTTCCAGGATGACAACGCAAGATGTCACAGGGCCAGGATCGTTACAGGTTACCTCCAACAACAGAACATCACCACATTACCTTGGCCAGCACTGAGTCCCGACCTCTCCCCCATCGAGCATGTCTGGGACATGCTTGGACAGAGGTTACGTCAACGTCAACAACGTCCTGCCAATGTCCAAGAACTTGCTGCTGCGTTGCAACAGGAATGGGACAATCTGGACCAAAATGACCTTAGAAGTCTCATTAGGAGTATGCCACGTCGGATCAATGCTTGTTTGGCAAACAGAGGAGGATTTACCCGTTACTGACATGGTTGTGATGCTGTGGTAACTTTGCTGTTTGACCCCGGGTATCATTTTACCCTTATAATGGTCAGTCTGTGCCTTACTTAGTCTAACGATCATTTGGAATAAATCGATGAATGTGAACTTCATTTCATTTTGTCATTTGTTTCTTCGTCAGTTTCATTAGGTGACTTTAATAACACTTAAAAATCAAATATCCCCTACTTTTTTTGAATAGTATAGTACATTCTCCATAGTAATAATATAATTAACATTTTATTTTTCATTATGCTACTTAATACAGTTTTCATTAGTGATGATCCGATAATCGGTTTCAACATGGATACTTTTTATCATAAAATACCTGTTTGGGTTTGAACATTCAAAATCTTGTCCAATTTAATCATAATAAATATGTTGTGTTTTGAGAGAAATATTTTGAAAAATATCATTATAAATAGCTTACCTTTATTGAAGGATGTCAATTCTGTATTCTGGCATTCAATACTAGTCTTTTCCATGATAAAACTTGGATTTTGAAAGACTAATCAACCGATTCCCAGAAATGATATCGAAGATTTTATATAAAAAGAGCTTTTCATTTTATGAATTAAAATATTGTCATTTGATAGCTAGACTGTTTATAAAAACTTTATAATCAGTCATATTATTATTTAGTCTTTGCAGTAAACAATAAGTCTCCAAAGAAAGACCAAAGTTGTAAAAACAAATAAAGTGAAATGTGTATTCACATAATCAGTCATACTTTAGGCTTTGCAGTAAACAATAAGTGTCCAAGACCAAAGTTGGGAAAACAGTCATTAAACCATTCAAAATAAAACTATGCTTTGTGATAAATCCTGACTTTATCGAAGTATTGCAGTACTGCAATACATCGCAATACTTTTTGTCAGATGTCGCAATATATTTCAATACCATTTCTGGCCGCAATACACATCCCTAAGTCTGACATATTGTTTAGATCAGCATACCAGGCAATTAAATGTCAGCGAACCGGACCCAACCCAGATGTCCAAAATTTATCCCTCTTTTTCTAGTTAGTCCTAGAACTGTATAAGTAATTTTTAGAAATGTTTGTAATTGTTATTCATTGCAATAATTGAAACAGAGAAAAAAAAAATGACTGTAAGGAGCCATTGAGAAATGCTTACATGTATATTGGATATAATTTTAGTTTAGTGTTTGTAAAAATGATAGTCACTGTCGGCTTTGCAGATATTTTTCCGGTGACTCCTTTGAAGCTTATACTGTCAGTTCATACATATACTTACAAACTGTTTAGAATCATTTGGTAACTATTCCGTTTTTTTTTTGGGGGGGGGGGGGGGTTGAGCCAAAAAGACACACCTGATTATAGTGTTTGTTGTTCTGGTTGTGTGTAGTTATATATAGCATTCATATTTTGACTAGCTTCCACAGTTTGATTTCACCAGTAAACATTTTCATATCAACTTTTATATTTAGTTTGCTATTTATTTATCCTCCTCTTATTTCTTTTTGTTTAGAAAGCTGATTGATGCAGACACATTTTCTAAATCTGATCCAAGTAAGTTTTAGCTAACTCCCAATCAAACTACAAACTCATGATCAATGAAATGAAATGAATTCCAACTGTCAATAATTTGTTTATGTACACGGCACTGTGTACACAGGACCTTGGTTTTTTACCCCATCCAAATGACTAGGCAGCTGTCCTCGATGGGCCCTCCGATCTGGACGACTGATAAAGGGAGACCACACTATCAAATCCAGACAAATTTTCTCGGCTAGCACCGGGATCAAAAACGAGACCTCTGAGCCAGCGAACCAGTGTCTTTCTCGCTGAGCTACTACAGCTCCACAAGATCATTATTAACAGGAGATGAAAACTCACCACTTTTATACAACTCTGAATGTAACAACATTCATGGCAATAATATTAAGACTGATGTTTTCACGATCAAGTAAACGCACCATAGATCAATTCTCTCAAACACAAAAAAATTAATTTTGATAAAATGAAAATGCTCAAAATAATGATTGTATGGTGCACTGCATGAGGTTTAAAATGTGGCTTTTAAAAAAACCTAGGATTAGTACAACTCCTACACTTTGTAAAAGATGCAATCATATGCCAAGGTTGATATCAATAACCCATCATTGCATTAATTCAGGAAGGTATGAGTACCAGAGCCATGGCCTAAAGATCTTGGTGCCAATCAGTATCACACTAGTATCCTGAGACTGGCTGATTGTTTCTAGTAGGGGTCCGTTAAAGATTGGTCTGGAAGGCCTAGACAAGACAGGCCTGTTAACCGACAACATCTGCAGGATTGCATGCTGCCAGGTTTATTTCTGTTACATATACATATATCTAGTGGTATTGTTATATATTTCAGTGTGTGTATTGTTTGTACAAGATCATGTAAATAGAGGCTGGAAGGAAGTAAGTTATATTTTATATTTCCATTTAAAGATACATTATGTAAGATTTAGATAAAGAACTAGCCATTCTTGCTATAATAGTTCGAAAGAAGATGATGTAAAATGAATAATTTGAAAATTTCATTCAAATTACTCTATATTAGCCTTTGAAGGTTTGAAAGACGTGTGCAATAATTTCAACCACCGTACTGGTTGATCGAAGCTTAGTATTGGTCCTCCATATTTGATTAAATCAAAGTATCGCTGAACCATTCTAATCTTTTTAATATCGGAGAAATCTGATGCCATCGAGAGTTGATTAAGGCCTGGATCAGTTAATAAATGTCTAATTAATACTTTAGAAAACATTTCAGGCCTAAAGAAAGACCTGCAATAGGCAGATTAAGCTCTTGCATAATGCATGTTTAAGCAAAATTAGGAAAGGTTTAAGTTAGCAAGGATGGGGTGGAGATGGTGAAATATCGAAATTAATATCAGATTAACTTTCAATTTATACAGAGAGTGTTTAAGTTTATAAGACAAAGAAGTCTATTGATTTTCAACGATTTCTCATAATTACTGACAGAGTTATGGCCCTTGATTACTTTGAAAAATCATGTGAATGCTCACTCTACAGGCTAAATTTTTTTTCTCCTAATGTCTGATTCACCTTAAAATTATACACAGTGTTTAGGGTCATGAGAAGAAGAATTCTATTGATTTTCAACCCTTTAGTGCTTTGTAAATGTTTTCATTACTGACAAAAGAAAATATATGCGACAACCCTTGTCTGCCCTGATGACTTAGCTGCTGTGGACATGTTTCATTGCCTGGCAACCTATCTTTTAAATACTAAATTACAAAAATATTAGCACCAGGATGTGCATCACATATTATTAAACTCCCATGTGATGCTTTACAATGAATGGTAATGATTTGTGTGTTCAAATTGGAAAATTGATACTCTGAATATGATTTGATGAATATTGACTTTTGAATTCCTATTTTAAAGTTTGGTAGAACTGAAATTATATGGAATAATCTCAATCCAGATTTTGTTCAAAAATTTGTTATGAAATATCGATTTGAAGAACTACAGAAATTGAAATTTGAAATGTGAGTTTTACTGTTTTTAACTTTTTGTACTTTTATATTTATGAAAATGTGAGTAAATACAAATGTTTTGTCATTTGTGAGATAATTGAGCTTTGGGATTTTTTGATATATTGCTATCTACTCTGCAACAAGACTACTAATTTCAATTTCATGATAAGACAAGCAATACGATTTGTTTACTTTGTGTGTTGACATTTTATCCTACTACATGTATTTTTACCCTTCAGATATGATGTAGATTGTAAAAGTCCAGATTTAAGTAAACATGTAAGTATTGATATCATTCAAAATAAATAAGAAAGCAATAGGTACATGGTAATATGTGAAGCTTTTGTGTTTTATTGTGTAAATTTCCAGCGGATAAATGAGCGTATAGCTCTTACTCCATATTATCATATTCAACATTAAAAACTGGAATTAGATTCAGTATTGTTAGTTTATTTCAATCAATATTGATGTTGTTATCTTACCGTGAAAATATGGGCTCCTGATATGCAATATTTAAAACACAATATAGATTTTAAAATCAAAAAATATGTCACAAGTCTGTGCAGAAGTAATTAAAAATAGCTGATCCACAAACGATAAAAAGGAAAAGATAAACTTGTAAGTAGACTGAACTAACCATATATCAGTTCATATACATTTATATAGTACATTAATATGTGGTTTTCACCCTTTGCATCTCTATCATTTGCCATCAAATTTGTGTAACATTATCCAACTGAATGTTTTAATTTCAGGATTTTCTGGGTAGTACCGAATGCACATTAGGAGAAATAATCACTTCAAACAAAATAGCTAAAAGATTAGCGTAAGTTTTATCTGTACAAATCAGAATGGGTTTGACCTAGCTGGTTTGGCAGCTATCAATTTTTCTGCTAACACGGTTCTTGGCATGCCTCATTATAAAAATGAACACCTGAAAATCTAATTTTTGAACCATTATTAGATTATGGCTATGGGTATGTGTGTGAAATAGGTTTATTTAAAGTCCATTGCCACTGAAGTGATATTTAATATGGACATGTAGTGGAATACCGCGTTTTATCAGTGAAATAAAAGTGTTATTCCATTGGCAAAGTAGTTCATGTTGTTTTTACCTAAAATGATTGTAAAATCATAAAATAAATAGAACATTTGTCGTTTTGTCGTGAATAACATACTTTATTTCATCTCTAAGCAAGGAAACGTTTATATTTTCACTCATGCTACTTATTCGTGAAAATATAAGTTTTCTTGCTTCTCGATGAAATAAAATATGTTATTCACTCTAAAACGACAAATATCCTCTATATTTTGTCCGGTCTGCAGTCTAGTCACAATTTCTTTTAACAGTCTAAAGTTTAATTTTTGTGATTGTTTATTCATTGTTTCTGATACTGAATGGCTTCTATTGTTTTGTTATTGTTTTTTCAGTGGTCCAAAGAAAGACAGTGGTTCAATAATAAGTAAGTTTAGATTTACAATATGGATATTGGTGATTTCAACAAATCAGTATTCACTTGAAAATAGTTAAGGATCTTAACTAAGGTGTTTTCTTCACATTGTACAGTGTGGACATGTATTGTCATCATCAGTTTGTCTTGTAAATGCTCTATATACTACCATAAAGTTAAAGGTTACATGAAAAGATCAATTTATTTTATCAAATTTGTATTCATTCTGGTGTTTTACTGAGAAATAAAACATATGCTTATGAAAAGCCATTAGTTTTGATTAAATTAATATATGTATGAAAAGTATTATACATATCAATTTTATATTTTCCAGTTAATGCTGAAGAACAAAGTAGTTGTAAGGTAAGTTAACAATTGAATATGATTTATGACGTCCATCATTAATCAGTTTAATTAAAATCACCTACTAATCTCACAATATCGTCAAATTTTCAAAATGTATATTTTGATATTATGTCATCAAGTCGTTGTTTATTTAGATGTCACAATATCTAGTAAGTTCTGTTTTGTTTTAATTATAGGAGAGGGTGACATTACATTTTTGTGGACACAAATTAGATAAAAAAGATTTCTTTGGTAAATCTGACCCCTTTTTGTCCATCTATAGAGTCAACGAAGATCAAAGGTATTTTCTCATTTTAATTTAATATTTAATAAATGATCAAATACAAATTAGTGAGTCCCGGTTGATAGAGTGTAATTTTTTTTTTTTAGTTTTTCTCTATTAGTAATTTAAAACACAATCCGATTAAAACACAGATCCTATTTCGTTTCATTTTTTATAGTTCAAAATTTGTCTGTACTACACTAGGATCTGGAAGAATTGTTATATAACCTGTGTTCTGGATGGCATGAGGAATTTGCCTATGAAACCATCTGTTATGGCAACTTCTTGGCATGCGCTGCACGGAACTGTGGGTAAACCGCTAGAAGCGTCAACGCTGATTGATTAATCAGTATCTGACGTCATAGGGTCAAAAGCCGTTCGTATGACCCCTGACGCGACCTCCAGTACAACTGGTCAGATCTTCATGTAGTGTAGGCCATCGAAAAAATGAAACGAAATATAGATCTGTATTTTAATCAGATTGTTTAAAACATAAATATGAAATATTTACTTCTTCTAATAATTATCAGCTTGTCTGAAAAACCCAAGTTTTCTGTACAGCAGCAAATCACATGTGAAGCATAACTCAATATTCTGAAAATTCTAAGAATAACCATTCTCATGCATATTCATTTTTTTGTAGCTTTACACTAGTTCACAGAACAGAAGTTATAAAGAAAACATTAGATCCCACGTGGAAACCATTTTCTATACCTGTTCGATCTCTGTGTAATGGTGACTATGATAGGTAAGACCAGTTGTTCTTTTCTTACTATCTAAAATAGACATTGTTGGGACAGGATTTCATTACTTCATTTAGACATGAACATGGTATATCAGGAGCCAAGTAATTGTATAAAATTTTTGTAAGTGTTGAGAACAAAATGGACTTTATTATTATTACTATGCATGATAATGAACCAGAAAACCCAAACAAAATGGACTTTATTATTATTACTATGCATGATAATGAACCAGAAAACCCAAACCTACTCATCTCATACCGTATCTTCTATGATGTAAATATAAGTAATATATTTATTTATAGGGTATTAAAGTTTGAATGTTATGACTGGGATGCTGATGGAGGGTAAGTATAATATTAATATCATGACCTTGATTAGTCTGTTGATCAAATGTAGCGATAATCAAGCCTATCTGAAGATTTCCAAGTATTTTCTGTATTGTGTGATTAATTCGTATAACCGTAATCTGAACATTACTGAAGTCATCCTAAAATGAAATATCATTACGCCAAGATGAACACCCGAAAAAAATAATATGGAACGGTGTAATTTTAATTAATTAAATTGTTAAAGGTTGACCACATGACAAAGTTGCTGGGCAACCATTGTTTCCATGATTGTTTGACAAGAGTTCAAATTTCGATTTGGGGGGTTGGATGGCTGAATGGTTAGCGTGCGCGCGCTGTATCATAAAGTCTGTCATTGAGTCGACTGGCGTGGTTTCGAATCCCCGGTTGTACGTGACAAGGAGTAGGGTCGCCTGTCCAACCTCGTGGATTTTCTTCGAGTCCTCCGGTTTCCTCCCACTGCTAAAGACCCCTACGCGCAAGCGAATTATTGAAATAAAATTTTTTTTAAAAAATATGTTAGTCCCGAAATGACCTAGTTTGTGTCGAGTGGACGTTAAACCCCATTTCTCTCTCTCTCTCTCAAATTTCGATTTAGCGCACTGGCAACCTGATTTTTAACACAAGGATTTCTTAGATTTAAAAATATTTAAAACAAATATTAAAATTTACAAGTGAAAAGCTAACTACATTTGATATATTTAAGAGCTGTATAAATATTTTACGTTATTATTTTTCAGTCATGATTTCATTGGTGAATTTAAAACAAATCTAAGAGAACTTTCAAGAGGACCATCTGAACGAAACAAATATGAGGTACTGAATATATATGGAATATATAAAATAAAAATACTTCTTCAAGCTTTATGAAATATACAATAAATGAAAAATTATAAACCACATTTTAAAAAATCCCAACATATCCTTTTGGAATTTAATTCTTGTGTGTATCAATAATACTCGTGCATTATACATTTTATTTGTTTTATTATTTCTGTTAATCTTCTATCTGATTACCTAAAATTATAATTCAACCATTTATGACCAGAAGAAAATTAAAATCACAATTTCAACATTGCTCCTGGCTTTTTTTTTTGTTTAGTGTATAAATCCTAAGAAAGCAGCTAAGAAACAAAAATATAAAAATTCTGGAGTGGTAAGTTAATTTCTAATATATGTAACTTGTGGTATTTATATCAATCAATCCATGTAATTTATTTGTTCTATTATTTAGCACAAGTAATATAGCATATCAGTGATGGGGCAAGCTTTATCTAAGATTTTGTTTTAGTAAGATTATGGGAATGTTGGCTTGTTGACTAATTTTTGGTTAACTGTGTTGACAGTCGAATATAAAAACATAAAATCTGTTTTTCCAAACCCTGGCTTTATCTATTGATATAAAATTTTCATCCTGCAAATCATATCAATATAAAATATCCTGTAGAATCGAACATTTAATTTGTGTATGCAAATCATAGAGGGTTGGTCTTTTCAAGTTTTCAATCAATTTGTAATTCTGATGTACATACACATTCTTCAAGTTTCTTTAATTCAATTTTAAATTCTATATAAAATTTTGTTTGTTCTTTTTTTCTTCTAGATTGAAATGATAAGTTGCAAAATAGAGCAAGTTTTTACATTTTTGGATTATGTTCGAGGAGGGTAAATAGAAATATATTATTTAATCCCTAAAAACTAAAATATTAATCAATTTCACTAGCTGTAAATTATATGAGCCAATATGTGCACAAAAGATTTCATGACAATAGGTATTGTGGTAAGTGTATGTGGCTTTTGTCATCAATAGCGACACAGTGGTCAGGAGCATTCTGTTGTCATAGTATATTTATAGAACCGGCGTTGGCTCTCATATTTCTGAAAGAAACGATAGATATCTGCATAAATTAAATTTATTTTACATGTTTATTTTTCACACCTCTACTGAAAATCAGATTGGATTCATCTATCAGAGGATCACTGGGATGTTTACATTCACTTAATAATATTATGGATGAAATATTTCATTGTGCAATGTAGTGTAAACAACCTGAACTAACACAAATACATTATATTTTTCAGTACTGGAATACACTGTACATTTGGTATAGATTTCACAGCATCTAACGGAGATCCTAAAGATTCTGGTTCTTTACATTATATGAGTCAATTTAATCCAAGTCAGTATGGTTTAGCGATCAAAGCAGTTGGTGATATCATAAAAGATTATGATACGTAAGTTTTGCTTTATTTGGAATAAAATAAAACTAGATACATCCTAATGGAGCTAAATCGCTTACATTTGGGACCTAGAAATTGACCCAAATGGGTCGCAACGCATATAATAATGTAATCTGATTGTATATAAACTTATTTACATTCAATTGTTTCCATTTTGACTATAATTTCAAATCAGTTATGTCCAGCAAAATACTGCATAAGTCTCAACAGAATACCAATTTCTAGCGTCTGGTTATTCAAGTCTATTGCGCATGCTCTCCAGATATGATATGGCGTCACCATTTGACATAGTTGTTGAATATGTCTAGCCTCGTTCTTTCTGGTCACTTGTTACAAATGACGCTGAAAGACACTATGGTACACGATTCGTGTACAAATGCTAAAATGTTTATTTTGTCTTAAATATTGGATATCAGAAGCCTACCTTTTCCCGGTAAGATTACAGCATCAATGTTAATTTGAATTGACAAATAATTAGTGCTTTCAAAGTGTAAGACTTTGGCTGATATTGAGTTAGAGACTTAGCTACTTTAATATTTTAACTCAATGAGGGAAAATCGTATTCTTTTGATGGGTACCATATTGCCAAGAGGTTCTTCTGATCTATGATGAGTTGTTATTTGAATATGTTATACCTATAATCAATATTTTATTATTTCAGCCATCAGATGTTTCCAGCATTGGGTTTTGGAGCCCGTCTGCCACCAGATGGTGTTGTATCCCATGAATTTGCACTGGTAATTTAAATGTAGATTTTTAGAAACTATTCATAACATTTTAGTTTTTTTTAGTATACAGTGGTATTTGCTTCACATGGCTAAAAAAAAAATAGATTTGTACATTTAAAGCAGGCCTATAGTATCATTAGAAAACTGCCATTGTCTACTCTTACATCGATTTCCAACTGTCAGGATCGTTTATGTGCTTGGAAGCTGATGATCAGTTGAAACTTTGATATTGAAAGCAGGGTTCTTAATCCATTTTGAAATAAATGGGCCAGAATTGGGTCAATTGAGGTCCCATGGGAAATAGATTAATTATAAGCTTACATTCCCTTTAACATAACTAGACTTCAACAAAAATAATTCTTGGTAATTTGTTATGGAGAATGTCGTATTTTAATGTATGTTATTACCACAAAAATAAAAACAGGTACACCTTTATAAAATTTCCCATATTTAATTCATGTCAGTAATATTCCAGAATAAAAGGTTTTATTCATTCGTCGATGAAAGACAAATGGCACAATTTTCACGTGACAACGATAATTGAAATTGCTTTAAAAGAAATTCCGTACGATTATGATATAACCTTCAATAAAAACGACAATATTTTTAAAATTAAGCCTTTGTAAGAATGTGTATAAAATAAAAAATCATAACGGTAAACGCTACTTAAAACTAGTTTATTAGCCTAATTCCAACCGATCTGTCACATGCCATTGGAATTCAGCATTGGAGATTCTATCAGGAAAATATATTATTAGACGGTTTCTCGGTTTGCTTGGTGTTCTATAAGGGGTTATATTCAATGAAGATTTAAATTTACCTAATAACTGGTCACATCAATGTATGATCCAGTTATTATTTTAATATCTACCGGTACCTGGAATTCATATGGAGCGTGGAAGACGCTTGATTGGCAAACCATGCTGAGGTCGTCTTCTTTCGCCACATGGGTTATTTTTACTGAAGCAGCTTACTGAACCTGTTATGAATAATCAGCAAGCCTGTTTTGTTTTTTACCGGATTATCAAAATTACCGTTAAATGTGCTCATTAGGCTACTCGGATTATGAACCACATGGCCGATTCTCACTAAGGTACGATCTTTTGTTGTAGCCGACAAGCAAGTTGATTGACTTCTTAATTAACAAGTAATAATTAACCCATTGTTATTTATGAAACCACAGCCGATTATTTAAAGGTTTATTGGCCTCATTAAATCTATCAATTTAAAATATTAAAGACTTGTGTTATTTTATCTGTTTTATAAATTTGTATTTTTCAGAACGGTAATCCTGCCAACCCATATTGTCATGGTATTGATGGTGTACTACAGGCCTATCAACGAACATTAACCAGTGTTCAACTTTATGGACCAACTAATTTTGCTCCCTGCATAAATCATGTAGCAAAGTATGTACATTTAGAATACACTAATTAAGACCATTAAAAAATACTGGTTCTCATATACCCTCACATCATTTAAAAGGGACTGCATGCTCTGTTTTTATTTTAAAAAAAACTCATTGATTGACACACTTTTATATTTCCCCTTGTTACAGGAATTAACTCCATAAAAAAATTTGAATGAAACTGGAAGTGTACCCTAGGCTCAGTCAAATTGTCAACCCTGATAAGTGTTATGGACAGTTACAGAGAGAGAGAGAAATGAGATTTAACGTCCACTTGACATAAACTAGTTCATTTTGGGACTAACGTGGTTCAATTTTATTTCAATAATTTGCTTGCGCATAGGGTTCTTTAGCAGTGGGAGGAAACCGGAGAAAACCCACGAGGTTGGACCCTACTCCTTGTCAAGTACAACCGGGGAATCAAAACCACGCCAACCCCCCTTATTGACAGTTACAAATGATACTTGATAATCATATATTTCTTAAAAACAACATGAGATAAGATAAAGTGTCTTGAAATGTGTTTTTTGTGATAAGTCAGATGATTAGTCACATTATGCTTGGATGAAGTTATAACACAAAAAATAAAAACCTTTATTCCACATGAGATATTTGGGAAGGATTTTCTGAAAATCAGAATATTTTTTTGTGCATGGACTAATATTAATTGTTTTCTGTTACTTAAACACACATTATACAAGAGCAAAATCTGTCTATTGCAGGTCTTTCTTTAGATCTGAAATGTAATCTAAATTATTAATCAGACATTAATTAACTTATACGACTTTAGTAATGATGATCGAGGCTAGCCTAAAATTCTAAAGCTAATATCTCCGTTCAGAGTGGAGCAATTTGACTGAAATTTTCAATATATTCTATTTACATAATTTTTTTTTTTTAACTATTATAGCAAGAACTATCAACTCTTTATCTATTATCTCAAAATGTCCCTTTAATATTTCATCCCAGAAAACCAAAATTCATTCTGTGCTCTTCAAAACATTTTAAGGATTTTATAAAGCTGCATGTTATGCATTTTGAGACAAAGCTAAATATGGTTAATTTTATGCTTAGCTGAGTTTTGATTGTTTTACCCATGTGTATCTCATTCAGTCAATTCTCAAAAACTTATTTATTAATAGTGTAATACCAGTGTCGCATCTTGTTCTTTCCTTAAACTATTGTATAATACACTATAAAACCAATAATTGTACTTTATTAAAGGTTTGCAAGAACAGCAGCTGTTAATGGTAATGATTATTTTATTTTGTTAATTGTAACAGATGGTATCATAACTGATATGCCACAAACCTGTGAAGCTATTGTACAGGTAGGTTTTTTTTTAGTTGTTCATTTTTGAAAACAATTTTTGTTATTCCTTCTGTTTGAAATGAAATTGTATATGATGTCTGTTAGTCCTCATGTAGTAGTGACTGTGATGGATAAAAACTGCTACTCTTTAAAATGATATACAATGTTTCATGCTTGAATTTATATTTTCCAGGCTGCTAAGTTACCTATGTCCATTATTATAATTGGTGTAGGAGATGCTGATTTTGGAGGTAAGATATATATATTTATCTGCCATAAACATAGGAGTACTTTATCTACTTTAATCTATATAATAATATATACATGTATATAGCAAATATTACATGACAGGGAAATTTATATATAAAATTATATACAAGCCTGTACCACCTGTAACTATAAAATCTTTTGATGGACATCTTTTTGATGTTATTGTCTTAAAATCAGGAGATTATTTACGGTTTTTATATTGGTTTTGTATTCTTTATTAAAATGTTAACAATTGAATTGAATACATTCTAGCGTGGAGTCGTGAAACAATTCAGATATTGTTTAAAAATTGTAAATGATGATCAGTGGCCTCCAATTGGTTTAAGTTTTCTTACGATTGTTTCATGCAGTGCTATTATTGTTTTGGTTTTCAGTTTCTTGAAAGGACTACAATGATTGCTTTACAATGTTTGTTTTTGTATATAAGCTTTATTTTAAAGATACATGCCACATCTTTCACATATTTCTCCAAAAGGTGAAAAATATGTACTATAATCTTGTTAGATGTAAAAATAACTTCATGAAGATGGTAATAGAATTGTTATTATTCTATTTGTCTGAGACATTATAGAAAATCAATAGAAACCTAACGTAAACCTTAAATGGCCATAACTAAGTTAGAATGGATTGAATTTTATAGTGTTTTGACTTGTTTGTTTCAGCAATGGAGGTATTAGATGGTGATGAAATAAGATTATCATCTAAAGGTGTTTATGCTGAAAGAGATATAGTACAGGTAACTTTTAAAGTTATTTCCAACCACTTCATAAGGATATGTATCTAAGTTGTTTATAAAAATGCATTATCAGGGTAGTTATTAGTTATTTCCAATAAAAATATGGCAATTTTGATATATATACACAGTAGTGATACTCTATCTTACTAGAAAAATACTGGATTTCCTGAAAAAGACTGATGGGTCACGCATGGGACAAAAATGTATGGGTATTATGAACTGGCAGTCCATTTGCTTGTTGTCAGTTAGAGTAATGTAGCATGTGCAGGAAGTGCTTTGTGTGTTGATCAAATGTCTAACAGTTGTGAAAACAGTCAGATACTTAAACTACAACAGACTCTGTGATTAAATGTCGGAAAAAGAAATGGGCAGAGGATAGTCAAAGAATTTACTTAGGCTTCGATATTTATGGTAAATAGACATTGATGCAAGACAAATACAAGCTGAAAATGGAACCTCCCTTCGATTGACTGGTTTTCGCGATAGTCAAGTCACACAACAATCAAGACTGCTAAAAATAGACTATTTCCTTGCGATGAAATGTTTTGAAAAAGATTTAAAGCCAACTTTTGATAGATAAATTGATTTGAATATGTTTTTTTTCTCCAAATATTTTATTAGATCAAATAATTTGTACCTAGAAGGTCTTTTTAAAAGTTGGTTAAGGATTAGAATGCTTGTTTTTATTGAAAATCGTTTTAATATGTGGAACTGTATAGTATTCTAATTATTTTACAGTTTGTTCCAATGAGAGAGTTTATGGGTCGAGGTGGACAAGATAGATCACAGATACAGTCACGTTTAGCACAATCTGTGCTTGAGGAAATACCAGATCAGTTTCTATCGTATATGCACAAAAGATCAATAAAACCACATCCACCTGTTCAAAGACATTTATCCATTTCTTCCTTAGATTCCTTACCAAACTCTGAACGAGGATAAAGAAACTTAGTAATTGAGGAGTAGAATTAAACTGCAATGGATGAATCTAGTGATTTCCATTTTTTCCCGATTCTGTACTTAAGCTGAACTCAAAACTACTTACATACTTATTATTTTAGAGTGGAGGGCGGGGAGGAGGTAGGGAACAAAAAAGAAAGGTATGCCCCTGGTAGTTGGAATTTGAATAAGAGTAGGCGGAACCCCCCCCCCCCCATTGCACTTATAACTATAGATATGAAATACACCATAATATGTTAATCTCAAAATGAACAAAGTATTGTGTTCACAAGACTTTAATTCCCTTTCCATCTATTAGATTTTGAAGATTTATTAGTGAAGCAAAGATATGAAGATGCCAGCTGCAGAAATAGGAATCGGTCATTCACAACAATAATTATTTTACTGATTTTTTAGCTTTTAGAATATTTAATAATGTGACTTGATATTTTTTTATAAAAGCAGTATAAATGAACAATTATCTGTGAAGATGACACTAACCAGCAATGCCACTTGTGAAATTGTTCAAATAAAACATACAAGAAGATCATCCCCTATTCGTTACAGAGAGTAAGTAAACACTACCTCATGTATGATACCCAGCACTACTTGCAGCTAATTGGATTTAATCAAAGTGAAAGTGTCCCATGGATCCAATAAGTATTTTGGATCACTTGCTATATGATTCTTTGATTTTTTTATATGATTCTGTTCACTTTTATTCATCAATATGGTGCTACTTTAAAATTTTAGTAGATTTGTTTTTAAGTGATCATTCCATTTACAAGCATAATATTTCAAGGGATCCCTTCTTTAAAATGTATGTTTTTTTTATAATGAATAAAATAAGAATATATTTTAGATTACATTATAATTCATATTGATTTTTTTACGCCCACATTTTCATGTGGATGTATTATGCCGTCGCCCCTCTCTGTTCAGACGTCCGTTCACATTTTGTTTGTGGACACTCTGAGTCAATTTTTGTCCGATTTTGACGCAATCGTATTTTTAGCTTGTGGAGCCTCTAGAGGTCATAATTTTTATCCAATTCTGATGAAACTTAAAACATGTTTATACATGTATCTCAAAGATCTAGGTTCCTTTCGATACTGGTGCAGTATTTTATTTGATTTTAAAAACCCTTCAAATATATCACTGTTACACCATATTTTCGTGAAAATGTGACTTAGGCTGTCTCCCCTTTACGCAAATAGTATAATAAGCATGTAATAATAAATACCAAGTTTGTGTACCCTCTATTTTTATCTGATTTTGATGGAACTTAAAATATATGTTTATAATATGAACTTTATATCCCAAAGATATTGATGCATATCGGACCGTAACATCCTGCCTGATTGTACAAAAATTCACCTCTTTACATGTTCTCTGTCCATCTCTTGCAAAATGTGGGCATATCTTGCATGGCAAGTACTTGTATATTTAACTTTGACGTCAATTTATAAATAATCTAAGGTAAATATTGTGGCTACATTTTTTGTGTTCTGTACATGATTGTTGGATCATCTGCAGTCTAAGGGTAAACTGATCTCCATTTTTTCCCCATTTCAAATTTAATATATATATATATATATATATATATATATATATATATATATATATGGGCTCATGATTAGAACTAAAAAACTATGATGGAAACTATCTTGAGCTTAGTGTTCATGGATAACTCCTGTAATGTCCTAGTTGGTATTGGGTGGATATTAAGACCCATAACTCTGTCTGTATCATCTGTAAGTGCATATTTTGGGTATTGTTTAAAGTGACTGGAGCTTGCTTGGGGTCTGGATTGGAGAGATTCTTTTTGAGGATTAGCACAGAATGTAGGCACAGTTGATATTAATGTTACTTTTTTTGCTTTTTTTAATGTAAATATATAATACATGTTATAAAATAGGATATCGTTTTAGTTTTCCGACATGCCAGGGTCTTTCTAATTCTTGGAAGAATTACGTGGAATGCGACAAAATAAATAAGGAATCAAGATTCTTAGAGTCATTGTGAACTTGTGTTATTGTTAATTGTTAGAAATGATTGTGATTGTAATGTAATACCACTAGTTAACCTCCAGAAGAGCTGTGACAAATGGTTGAGAAAACTGAAAATGAAGCACATTTAAGAGATTATTATTGTGGGGTCTTGGCCATGTTCCTGTTCAAATGATCTTTATATTGTTTTCTTGTTTTTACTTCCTTATTCGGTAAGCTGAACTACTATGTATACATTGTTGATCTGATTGACTATGATTTCATGTGTTTATCAGGGATAAATAGTTGTATTAGATCTATGAGTAATAACTGACTGTTAATTTGTCTTCCTAATCACCAGTTACAATTTATATCTCAATTTGTTATCTTTGGTATTTTGTTTGTTAATTATGAAAGAATGTTATGTAAATATTAATTCGATTAGAAAATGATGTGTGTACATGTCTTGCATGATCCATTTCAACGGGGTAGAAATTTAACTATTTTAAAAGACTTGAGAAAAGTATTTCTATTATTTTTGACAAACTTGTATAGCACACGTTTTCTTTTATTTGGTGATCATTCACAGTTAAATATTAAATTATTTTTTACTTGCTAAAATTGTATTCAGGCCTGGAAATAACGGGTTTTAGATGTACCTTACAAAATGTCAGGCACTAATGAAATAGTACTTGACATTTTCAACTTAGTGCTGGACATATATTAATAATATCAATAAAAAAGACAAATCAGTGCCGGAAAAAATGACAGCCACCAGAGGTTTTTTGCCTGACAAAGCCTGAATCTGTGGCTGACATTGTCTGTGACAGATGCCTTATTTCCAGGTGTGATTGTATTATACAAAAGCATTGAAAATTAGGTATCAAATGTTGTATTTTATGATGCATTCTATATATTTCATAATTAGGTATCAAATGATGTATTTCATGAAACATTCTATATATTTCATATGCTTTTACCTGTTATTTCAATTATAATAATACCAATTCCAGTGATATTGAACAAGATGTTGCCCTTGCTTTAAAAATGTTGCACTTGTACATGTATGTCTTATATTTGACAATAATGATATTTGTATGCCCTCATGTTTGTAATTGTATGTTGTCATCCCCCATTCCTATTCACATGTTTTAATGTTGTTTTGTTATATCTGGCATGGTTTAATTGTATTATCATAAATGTTAACCCAATCACAAAATCAGTGCATCTCTGTAATTAATATGGAACAATACCCTTACTTTGCCGGAGGGCCTGACAAGGACAGCTGTCTAGTCATTCGGATGAGACGAAAAACCGAGGTCCCGTGTACACATTGGCGTGCACGTAAAAGATCCCTTGACAGTTGGAATTCGATATAAGAGTAGGCCGTAGTGCCGCTGTCCGGGCAAAATTACCCTCATAGCACACTGTATGGCGTATGCCCGTCTTCATTAGCCCAGTTCGGAGCAAAACAGTAGGACGTTAAACCCCATTTCATTTCACCCTTACTTTGCTTAATATCCACTGTACATCAATTGCTGTAACAGAAAATGTTTTATTAGAATAAGAAGTCTTGTTTACTGATTATGAAGTTATGTATTTTCCTGTAAATATTGTATGACACAATTACGGAATATCTATAATGTGTTAAAGGGACAATAAGGGCAGGAAATTGTACTTTAATTATATTCTAGACAACTAAGCATTATAAAGATTATACACCAATTTTTGTCTTGTCAAACACAACCTTACTTATCAAAATTAATAACAGAACCAGTATGATGATCTACATTAATTAATTAATCATCTTGCACTACTACTTTACAAATATTAATGAACCATTACCGATATATTGCTAAGGCTAACAATATAACCATTTTAGTAACCAGTATAATTCTATAAGGCTGTTAATGTATATTTTATGTGAATGAAACTTTGAGACCAAATCGCTAGAGAGAACTGGTTAGTGAAAGTATACATTATTCTTTGGATAATGTATTATATAGATATATATCTGCTGTGATAAATTATTTGAAAATAATTTTAACTTTTTTTTCTTTTTTTTTCCGATAATTGAACTCTATAAACTGTTGATTTAATGGTACATTTTGTTTTTAAAACAATATCTGGTTGAAGAGACAAAGAAACTATTCGTTGTATTTTATTATTAGTAATAGGATTTAATTTTTGACTTTTCATTGTGTAGATTTTATACTATATTTTTTATTACATACATTACTTTTATAGTTACTATAGTTTTTATTACATCACTGAAGTATTTAATCCATTTACTGTACAGAACAAGAAATTAATGAAAGCAAGAAATTAGTACATTAAAATATCACATTAATTTCAATATGCATTTAAAATAGAGTATTGGTGGTTCCATAACTAATTAGCACAGTGTTTTTAAACTGAACACCACTGGTACACTGGATTAAAAACAGACATGTATTTCCTTTAGACCAGAATATCCAATGCTCGTATTTTTTATCATTTATACCCAGAAATTTTATGGTGTTAACTTCAAATTAACTATTTAAATAGCCTCATTCTCTCATCTATCAAAAGATAAGATGCTCTAATTGCGGGACATTTATAATTTGTTTGTCTATAATTTTATTAATTTGTTTTTTGTTTTTTTTTTAGTTTTCATATTATTTCATTCACAAAATTTACAATAAACTTTTTATAATCATTTTAAAGGATGTGTTTTGTTTTTCACCATGATAAAAAAAAAACCTGTTTTGTTTCTCTCTGCATCTCAACAAATTTATAGCCTGGCTCAGATTGGAATTAAGAAGGCAATCAAGCCTCAATAATTTCCTTTAATTACTACAAGAGTTAATACCTGTGTTTTTTGTTGGCTGGCAACCTGGCTTTCTTCAATTAGTAAAAACAAATTTTCAACAGTCCTTTCATAAATTCATTATCCATCCGTCCAAGTCAGAAACGTCGCCAGACTGAGTCCGAAAAGTCGTCAGGTAAAGTCCGTACCGTCGTCAAACTGAGTCCGAAATGACGCGGGACAGAAATGTGCTACATGTGGGATTCACTCTAAATATTTATTATCTGATCAGTGATCATGGTAAGAAATGTCTTACTATTTTATAATTATAACAATGAAGAAAAAATAAAATCTTCATTCAGGAAAAATTGTTACGACTAAGAAAATCGTGACTATGTTCGAGTCTAAAAAGAGGGTGAACACTCTTTCGGAGTCACGAAAATGTCACAGACGTCATAGTCACCAGTGCAGAATGATTGACAGCTGTCAGCCTTCACCTTCGATACCAAGGGAAATAATTTGAACAACTGGAGACAGACCACATTGACCCCTACATAAATGTTAAAACCCGTTTTCTTGCTATTCCAGGCATGAGTTTAAAGTAGAACAATATAGTCTTATTTTTATCGCTACCTTTGAGAACCTGGTTTTCACCCATAGGCCTAACGCCATAAATTATAAATCCCCACCCTCCACATATACAAAATTTTAAAAGTGACGAAAGAATTAAATAATCATTCAATGTATTAATTTTTCTACATATCACACACACACACACACACCCACATCATATTTACATCTTAGATTGACCCTCACAGCAGGATTTTTTATTTTTATTTAGATTGGCCCCAAGACAAGATTTTGTATTCAGATTGGTGTCACAGCAGGGTTTTCTTCATCGGCCACAACAGGATTTTCTTTAGGTTATCCCTCACGCCAGGGATTTTGCTCAGATTACCCCCCACAGGGAGTTTTCTGTAGATTAGCGTTCACCGCACGATTTTGTAAAGATTGCATGGTCCCGTCTATTCATATCTTTATAATATTAGTACATTGTATTTCTATGGACCCAATGATTTTATATAGATTGCATCCTCACAGCAGCATTTTTATTCGGGTTAGCCCTCACAACTGGAGTTTTCTTTAGATTAGCCATCACAGAAAGATTTTTCTTAAGATTGGTGCCCACACCATTATTCTCAATAAATTCCCCCCCCCCCCCTCTACACACGAGCAGGACTGATTTATATTGGTTCAGATTGGCCCATACAGCAGGATGTTCTATAGATTGGTCCCAACAGTAAGATTTTCTATAGATTGCTATATTATAGCATATTTATTATTATTACAGCATATTTATTACTATTACAGCATTACTATTACAGCATATTTATTACTATTACAGCATATTATATTTATTATTATGGCAGCATATTTATTATTATGGCAGCATATTTATTATTATGGCAGCATATTTATAGTGCACCCTTCCATATATCGTGTTCATGGGCACTTTACAAGGTGACAATGTAATCATATAAAACAAAAAAAACCCCAAAAACAACCAGAAACATTATAGGCATATTAACAGTTGTATACAGTGCCAGTTAAAGCCTGTTTAAATAAACGTGCTAAGTTGTTTTTTTAAAAAGAATATAGAGATGTAGGCCTACACGATCTTATACTAAATGGAGGATTATTCCATAAAACACGAGGCGCTTGAAATCTAAAAGAGCCCCGACAATAAGAGACGAGTTGAACAGGTTTGGTCTTTAAAAGTAGTTATCTGGTGAATGACTATTTGGCCCGGCATAATTTTTCGTGAGAA